CTTCAAATCGCTCTCTCCAGTTATCAATAACAGAGTCAACACTGGTAGAAGTGGAAATGCCCTGCTCTTTGCAAATACTGTCCAATTCTCTCTCCAGTGAATAGCTGATGTAATCATTGCTGCATGTGATTGTTCTGTTTAGTCCTAGCTCTAATAGAAACTGCAGTTTTGCATCGTAGCTTGTTGGCTCAGCATCATGACGTTTTCTTTTGATATCTTCACTAAGTGTACCTTCGATAAACTTTGTAATTTGAATAATGAAGGCTTCATTTTTTCTTGATGATAATATGTACTTAATGTCATCATTATTAAGTGAAAACAATGCCCAAACGCCAATTGCACCAGAATTTTCTGCTGTTCTAAGAGCTTTTGCAGTATCGAGAGGACTATTAACTAAAGGAACTCTAATTTGTTGTTCCATAAAACCCCCTAGCATTGTGACACAGGGAGTTAGATACTCATGAATAATTTTGTTGACTTCCTGAAGCATGCTACTGTTTACTGCTGCAATACCGAGAGTAGCTGTTTTATGTGAGCTAGAAAGGGTCGCAAGGCGAGTTCTGGCATTTTGTAGAACTTGTGATAATGGTGTTAGAGCATCAGAATCTGAAGGAGAAGAAACAGCTTTTGATATTGGATATAACTCGCCGATGTTCCTCCCACAAATTAATTTGAGATCAGGAGGAAAAGGCCCTCTCTGTAGAGCTTCACATATTTTTTGAAAACGTTCAAAATATGACAAACAACAGTCATGAGGTGTTAAGAAAACTGACAAAACCCTATCTTGCACAGATAAGGCACTGCTCTGTGAAGATCTCACTTTTTCACGCCTCTTTTGGCTTCGTCGCAATGGCTTCAGTACATGTGGTTGTAAAAAGTTTTTATCTTGATCAAAAGAGTGAAGATGCTTCAAAACTCTAGTTCTTAAATGTGGTTTTTCTACACCATCAAAATCACCATACATTCTATGCATGCTTAGTTGATCTAATTGAAGAAATCTGGGCAATGCACCTTTATCATATGCTTCAATAGCTCCAGAGATCATCATTTTTGAGACAGGGATTGAAGACACATGAGCAGCATTAACAATAGCTTGTCTAATCTTTGCAGAAGAACTTGGAGTATCACAACTAGCTACAGCAAAAATTGCACTTTCCATGGGAACAATAGTAGAGGCTTCTTGTAGAAATCTAATTATTTGTTTAAATCTTTTGGTCGGTCTACCAGAACTAACAGAAGGAGATTGTTCAAGTAGAGCACTGAGGAACGATAATTGAATGATTTGGCTTGGTGTCTGCTTAGCTAGTTGACTTTGACGAAATGAAATGAAATCTGGTTCCTATAATAAATTCAATTCAGGTAATCAATACTTTTACAGTAACAACACTAGCAGGTTCATTGTTTTTCCTTTCCTGCCCACATCAGCAATTAACTTTTATAATTATTTATACCAGTATACTATACAGTATACACATCAATTTATATTGCAGTGAATATTAATAAAGCACCCACCCAATAAGGAAAAACTACATGGTATGAATCAATTTAGAGTGGTCTTATAAATTTAAAGATTATAACTTACATTGTAAATGATTGGAACATCACTTTTGAGAGGATTCGAAAATCTGCTATGAACTCTGATTTGAGAAGTTGTACTTCTATCTTCAAAAAAACATTCATGATTAAGAAGCTGATTATAACATATCTGTTTCTGAGCAACACTCTCAACAGATGTTTCAATCAGAGCATTAAAATTGGAAAAATTAACTTCAATTTCAGAGCAAAACCAAAGATTATCACCATTGATAACAATTGATAGCTCATTCCCACCAGGGTGTTTGTGTTGACAAAGCTCAATTTTTGAAATTGATGGCACTAGTGATTCCACAGAGCCAGCAGCTAAACTTTTGCGAGATGGAATACAGTACTGCTCTTTATCAAGATAGCCCCGAAGCACATATTGATAATATGCTTGCATGTCACACTATATACATAAAACATATATCACACAAATCGATACACTCATTATTATACCTGTGAAGATGGATTAAAGGTTACAGAATCTAAACTTGGTGATTTAGTACACTTTAGTCCATCTTTTTTTTTCTGAATCAGGTATAAGCTTTCTTTAAACATCTGATAAAGGTGTAATAACTCCCGACGTCTAGTTCGATAAGGTCGCAATGAACAAGGCTAAAAATTACACAACTATGACACAAAATACATTTAAAAACTAGAAAAATACCTTAAAATCAATAATATCCAATAAAAATACATGAAATGCTTTTAAATAATCCAAGGACTCTCGAAGTCGGCTTAGAATAATTGATAAGTTATCTCCCGGAAATCCAAATAAAATGCAGGCCACATTTTGAAGCAAAATCTTTGCACTAAAATAAGGTAAATTCCATAGCTGGACTAAGAATGACACAGCAGGCAGCATTCCATCTGAAAAACCTAAAAATGACGTTAGCATAATTTTTGTGCTGAATAAAATTTTATAGAAAACCATAAACAAACCTGTAAATACTAATCTTTTGTTTTGATGCAACAACTCACAAAAATAACGCAATGGCAAATCCACATTACCTGTACTTAAATTTTAAAATACAGACTAATATCTAAAATAACTAACCTCTAAATGCAATGTAGATAATATTTTCTTGAAGAGCAATTAAAATATTCATATCATTGGACAAAGATGCTTTCTCAAAAGAATGACCAAACTCTGACAAGTAATGATCTAGTGGCTGTCTCACTTCTAAAGTATTAGCTTTAGAAATGACTAAATTACAAAGACTAGCATGATAAACCACATCTGTAGAAAAAATTGGTGGCAGTGGCACATCTTCAAGATCATCACTAGAATGACTAGATGAATCCTTCAAGTTGGATATTTTTTCATTATGCTCCTTGTAAAGCTCATCCAGTCTGTCATAGCACCAGTCATTGATATCCATTGGAATGAGAGCATTCATTGTAAGATTGTTCAATTGCTTGGTCAATGTGTCCTTAGATAAACCATCTTCCAATTTCTTCTTGATATGACTTTCAATCCGTGCTTTGATGCGATCAAGGGTTGCTTGAGTATCAAGCCCAGATTCACTGAGATCAGATGCATAAACTTGAAGAGCATTTTTCAACTGCTTAATATGAGGATCAGCATCACACTGATCAATAGTTTCTTGCATGACTATAAAAATAAAATTATAATAAACTTCGTATCAATGACTTCATATTTGGAAATTTCACCATACTAATACATTTGGCAGTTTAAATATTATCAAATTGCTAATATAAAATATTTTATAGATGTACAGAAAAGAAACCAAAACACACATGCCACATGCCAGTATTTGCAGACCATGTGTTATAAATAGGACAACCAGCTATAGAACAATGTAAAACATGTACAAACAACAAAAAATGTACTAGTATGGGCTTCACCCAATAATAAACTAGAGCAGGAGAGTGAAGAGATGGAGATGTGTTCTTGTATTGTGGTCACTTAAACAAACAGACCATCAATAACTGCCAATTTGCAAGGTCTGTGCAAATACTGTATACGTTCAAATTTTTAAGTGTTTAAAATTAAGTGTTTTCAATGAAATGTACTCAAAAGTTAATGTTCGTGTGAGCTAATTTTCGTGTTCTGGCCATAGTTTACATACAATAGAATGGCATTAGAGGTGGTTTAAATTTCGTGGATTTAAGATGAGCACAAAAACACCTTGAAAATTAAGATGGTAAATTATAGCTAGAAAGAATGTAAAGCATCAAGGGGCTCTAACTCCAGGCCACACCTCCTAGTTACACTCCCAAACATATGCACACGTACAGTATGCATACAAATAAATCTCATAAGTAAGGGCTTCGCCTAATTATTAATTAGCTTTGCCCACACTTTGCATAGGTAAGGACTAGATACTGTTGCTGGTCTGTCCTTCATTCATTCATTGCCTTTGCTCACACCGTAGGCATATGGATATAAGGGTACTGTCAATTTCACTTCTGTACGAATGGTGCATGAGTAACTTTCAGTGAATGAATTTATTAGGATCACATGATTCCCACGCAGTACGCACTGTTCAAATGTAAGTGAAATCAACAGTATATACTGCAATCGTCATGTCAATGTGTGTGTGTTTGCAAGATGGTGTCTTCTTCTCTGTTTTCAAACCCTTGTTGCTCTTTGTTTAGGTCCTGAAGTGTCCCACTGTCAATTAAAACACTTTGTAAAAGTTGTTTTTCGTCAGTTCGCTTCTTTATCCATCTTCTCAGAGGCAGCATAAACCAGCAATGCTGCTAAATGTAGTCTGAAATACAGTACATATCAAAAAAAGGCTAAGTAGCTACCCCACAGTTACTCTACTTTTGCGTAAGTAGTTCGTTGCTCCTTCTCTGCGCATGCTTACTGCGACATAGCAGGACAGTAGTGCGACAGTAGAAGACAGTAGCGCGACATTAGAAGACAATAGCACGACAGTAGAAGACAGTAGAAGACAGTAGCGTGACAGTAGAATCGAGCAAAAATATCCTAAACAGGCTTCTAGAAGGAGAGAGTGGTATTATAGATGAACTTGGAGAGCACAGACTGCCAAAAGAAGCATCCACAAGTTCTACTACAGTACATGTGACTGGGTGGAATCGCAGCATAACGCAGCAAAGAGTAATGAAGAGTAGCGAAGTAGCGAAGTAGTAGCAAAGTACCTATGAACTACCTTCAAGGTTCTCTTCTCTACTGTACCCTACTTAGCCTTTTTTGAAGTGCACTGTATAGGCAGCTCTCTCATGACAAAGGTAATAATGCATTAGAACACATCAAACAGTAGATTAAAGTTTATTTCTTTAAATTTTGGTAATTAAACAGCTACAGGGGCAAGGCCATGCACCACAGGTGTCTTGTTACTAAGGTATTAACCACTTACAACTTTTTGCTGAAGGAGTAGATGTTTTAATATCCTGTGGCTGTGGACATATTTCAGAAGTTTCAACATCTTGTTCTAGTGAATCTAGTAAACTACCTAATCATAATTTAGACAAAATTAATATTAAACAATATCATTAATTAGTTACCTTCTGAAATAGATTCAGTATGATGTGGTACCATCTTTACTTTCTTGTGGCTATGCTCCATCTGCTCTGATGAAAGCAAATCACTACCTAAAATAAAAATCGTATTACACAACAATCATTACTGCCCATAAATTATTAGTTTTACACATGTAGCTTCAGGATGAAGATACATTTTATGAAAGAGGTTGTTTCATGCATGCAAAGCTGGCATTAAAATTTATCAAGGTTCTCTCTGGTGTTAAATCCACAAAATACTTTCATATTACAATGTGCATTGTCTAGTCTACTAATGAATTATAATTAATTTTAAAAACATAATATTGAAAATTAAGTACACCAAAACTCTAGTGTACACATGTACTTACACATGTATACATGTACATGCATAAAAACATACCATAATAATCACTCTCAAGAGATTCTACAATAGAATCTAAAGGAATGTACTGCTTTAAAATGTTTAAAACTCTTTCAAATTTTTGTACAAGATCTTTATTATTTGGTAGACTAAACACATAAGCTTCAATAGCATCTACCAAGTCAGAACCATGATGACGCTGTGTAATCCTATTACGAGTAGTCTCATCTATAATACTATTGGAGCATAGGACACTGGCTACTTCAACAGGATTGAGCATTGCTCTTTTTAATTTTGGTGAATATCTTTTAAAAAGAGTGGCTTCTTTATGTTCAGTGATATCAACCTAAAAATAAGAAGAGCTCATAAAAAATTATAACTTTCAATATACAAAAAATTTTATTTGCATTGCAAAAGTTCAGTACATCTATTTCGGTAAAAAACCAAAAGTCTTTTTCTTTTTGCACCCTGATTCATAATTTCACACTGTATAGGGATACATTTTCTGAGGTTTAAATTTCACTAATTTACTATTTAAAAATATCCACAAAATGGTCAGTAAAGAAAACACTAAATTTTCTTCTCACAAATAAATTTAGATTGAAATGCAATTTTCATGAAATATTTTCTCCAAAATATACCCTTTATACCATAGGTCGGGATATATTCGCGGCTGCTTATTTCACGATAATAAAAACTAATAAAAAGGTTCAATTAAATACCATGGAAACCAATCAATTGTTGCTATGATAATAAGACCATGTGTTTATATAATTACAGTGTTCAGTAGCTACAGTAAATTGGGAAATTTTCGGATAATTTTAATTTTCAGATGGATAAAAAAATTTTAAAATAAAAAAGTAAAAATTTTAAACAATTGAATATTAAAATATTCAGGTAAAAAGGAATTCCAGTATTCGTACCATGTGGCTCTGTCTTCAGTACTGCTCTGTGCCCTCTGCTTTTTCTTTCTTACTCATACTCACTCTCTCTTGGTCTACCATTGAGTTCCTTGATGTCTCTTTAAAGTCATTCACTGTTACTGCTTAATATTGGAATTAAATTTTTCGGGACAAGATGGCTATCCGAAAATTAAAATTATTGAAAATTAATTATCCAATTTATTTTCTAATTGGAAATTTCCCAATTTACGGTAATTATCTATTCTTTAGCAGCTTTAGTGGGAGCCATCCAGTTTTCTGTCCGCTATCTTCTTGTATGGACCACTACCTTTGAGCTCTTTGTTGTAAATCCTTACTGGTCCACATGCATGCTAGTGATAATTAACCACGCCCAAGTCAATAAATATGTGGAGAGTCCCAAGAATGGGCCAAGATACGGCAAGGCAGAGTGAGGAGAGTAGCTCTGTTTGAAACAGTTCCAAAGAGACCAGGGATTAGTAACAACAAGAACAACAACCTAAGAACACTGCAACAAAGTCCTTTGCTATTAATATCACGGCTTTTTCAATTAAAATTGCATCTGGTAACCATGGTAATTGCTGAGTAC